GTTCCATGACACATTCTGTCCTTAGTGTTTTATAGAATGAATATTGTTGTTTCATGGAACTCCGTTTAACTCACATCTGTCTGCATGCATTACAGTGTGAGATGTTGGTATCAGTCACAAGTTGTGATTGTTATTTTGGTTCTATTGTCACTAATCAGTTCACGACTATTGTTACCAATCAGTTCATTTGATTAATAATCAGCTCTCCTGTTATTATTAATCTGTTCATATTCTTCAACCATAACCGGTTGGTTCATGGCTCCTTTCAACATATTTTCCCTTCCCGTTGAATTTTTTTCCGGGGCATGCATGCATTCAGAACGCATAGTTACACAACATGCGTCTGTGCATGGCACACATAATTACGCAATGCGTAATTACGCACATGGGGAGCTGAGTGACAAGACCTTTTTTGGGCAAGCTTCTGCTTCATACGGTGTTCGAATGGACCCAGTGAGGCGAGGACCACATCTGCTTCGCCCTTAACCCATCAGCGACAGCCTTAAAGGGCGAAGCTTATACGAAATAGAACGTTGGTTACGTACTGTAACCCCAGATTCTATGAGTATAAGCGTAGCCCTTTAAGCGTCGGGCCTCACTGGCTCCTAAGTGGCTGAAGAAAAAGCTATTTGGGAGCCGATTTCCCGCTCAGCGTAATTTATACGGACCGGGTGGGGCCCACACAGCAGGTGGGCATGGACTAAATTTTTTCAGTGTAATGCTTTCGCATAACGGGATAACCCATCAGCGACAGCTTTAAAGGGCTACGCTTATACTCATAGAATCTGGGGTTACAGTACGTAACCAACGTCTAACTGAATGCTCGGAAACACCTTGTAACTGTGACTTTCCTTCCCTCCATTGACTACGGTGACATTATTTACATGAACGCTCCTACAAGCTCCCTGCAGATGTTGGACGCTGTCTATCATGGTGCACTAAGATTCATAACTGACTGTAACTACTGTACCCATCACTGCAATCTGTATTTACTGGTTAACTGGTCATCATTAATTCACGCAGACTCTCTCACTGGTACATTTTCATCTTTAAATCACTTCTTGGTCTGCTGCCTTCATGCATCTCCTCCTACATGTCTCTGCATGAGTGCAGCTACAGCGTGCGCTCTCAGGACATTACCTGAAGTGTTCCCTCAGTGAGGACTGAACTAGGCAAAAGGGCCTTCTCCTACTCTGCTCTTGTTTCCTGGAATATCTTGCAAAAAGATCTGAAGCTCTCAACCTTGACCTCTCTAAGTGGTTTCAAACATCTGTTAAATTCATGGAAAAAACCAATGCAGACATGTTCCTGTTTTTAGTTTTCTACATCACCTTATAATCTAGCTGTTTTTTGTTGTTAAATTTTTTAATACCATTTTATTTTCACTTGTTATTCTCAATTTGTATGCATCCTTTATGATTGTCTGTTGCTGACTTTGTTGTCAACTGTTGTCATCACTCTTTGTTAAAACCAGGTCTCTCTTTTACATAAGTCCCAGAGGCTCAATGGGATTAACCTGTATAAATAAAGGTTGAATGAATGAATGTCTTGGGCTAAAACAATCACTGTCACCATAGGTGTTGTGTTCACTAATTTTAAAGGGGACGTGTCCCTTCACATTTAAAAAGTATTTGTTTGGACCCCTCCACATTTACCATTAAATATTAGCTCACCCAGTGCTGTTTGTATTGCTTCGTGAACATATCCATTCTAGTTGATTAATAGGAGAATACACAAACCACTACAAGTCCACTCCGGGTTTTCCTGGTTACCTACAACAACTCACCGCACCGCACCACATGCAAGCATAAACAACTCAAAAACTGGAGGAAGTAGCATTAGTCCCATTGACATCTCACAATGTCCAGCTTTTGCTAAAACCTTATTCATGTTTTTTCTAGCCCCAGGCCACGTTAAATTAATGTTCAACTAAACAATGAAAAATTAGGACAAAGCTACTTTACTTTAATTAACAATAGGCTAGTATAGATTGGTACTGTTGGATGGCAATTATTTGTTTGCGATATGTGATCCCTCCCCAGACACAGTGGACATTAGGAGATTCTTTGCAAAGAAGCAGCACAGTTAGTGAAGTAGTAGACTCTCAGAGCTCTGCTGCCAGAGGTACCGTACATGCACTATTCACACAAGAAGAGGTTTTGGTAAGGGTACTTGTTGTGGCTTGTTGTGTTGTGCTCTTCAGCTGAGGCTGAAAGAAGTTTTAGTGCTTCAAAAAGTATTAAGACATGGCTTCACTTCATGAACAATGTAGCTGTCTGCCACATACACCAAGAAAGATGTGATCAGGTGGCCATGAGGGAAATTTGCCCATCAAGCCTTGTCTAATCTGAACAAGAAGAACTTGTTTGATTTTATCTTTGCCCTAAGATTTGAAAAATCCAGCTGATGGTGTTCTACAGAATGTCTTGAAGTAGAAATATCATGTTAGGGAGAAAGAACTCAAGTAACACAAGTTTTCTGCTAATTATAGGAAAATCAGTGTATGGGGAAGAAACAGTGGAAAGGAAGCGAAGGCAAGTTTGAGATTGCCATCATTGTATGTTCCTATACAATGATGAAATTAAAAGGGAGATGGATGTTATTCCAAGTGGATTGTGATAGAAAGGGCAATAAAAGTTATGAAGTAAATGTGGTGACACCAAGTAGGAAGGTACTTGTAATTTATTTTTGTTTTAATAATTACAAGCAGGTTGACAAAACTGACAAAAAAAGTTGTTTTATTTTGTAATTTGGTGTCGCTATTGCTTGGCACAGCGTAAATTTTTGTTGTGAAGGCTGCATGATGCCATGTTGCCGCTCTAAATTCACTGTTGATGGTTATCAAAATTGCAGCGTTCACTGCGTAAAGTTGATATTCTTATTTTTAAACATGCAGTTCAGTGTCACTATTGCTTAGCACAATGACATCCTTAAATACAAACCGGATTCCAAAAAAGTTGGGACACTAAACAAATTGTGAATAAAAACTGAATGCAATGATGTGGAGATGGCAAATGTCAATATTTCATTCGTAATATAACATAGATGACAGATCAAAAGTTTAATCTGAGTAAATGTAACATTTTAAAGGAAAAATATGTTGATTCAAAATTTCACAGTGTCAGCAAATCCCAAAAAAGTTGGGACAAGTAGCAATAAGTGGCTGGCAAAAGGAAATTGAACATATAATAAACAGCTGGAAGACCAATTAACACTAATTAGGTCAATTGACAACATGACTGGGTATAAAAAGACCTTCTCAAAGTGTCAGTGTCTCTCAGAAGCAAAGATGGTAAGAGGGTCACCAATTCCACCATTGTTGCGCAGAAAGAAAGTGCAGCAATACCAGAATGGTGTTACCCAGCGTAAAATAGCAAAGACTTTTAAGTTATCATCATCAACTGTGCATAATATCATCAAAAGATTCAGAGAGCCTGGAACAATCGCTGTGCGTAAGGGTCAAGGCCGTAAAACTCTACTGGATGCTCGTGATCTCCAGGCCCTTAAACGTCACTGCACCTCAAACAGGAATGCCACTGTCAAGGAAATAACAGAATGGGCTCAGGAATACTTCCAGAAAGCATTGTCAGCGAACACAATCCACTGTGCCATCCGCCGTTGCCAGCTGAAACTCTACAGTGCAAAGAGGAAGCCATTTCTAAGCAAGCTCCACAAGCTCAGACGTTTGCACTGGGCCAGGGGTAATTTAAAATGGAGTGTGGCAAAATGGAAGACTGTTCTGTGGTCAGATGAGTCACGATTTGAAGTTCTTTATGGAACACTTGGACGCCATGTCATCTGGACCAGAGAGGACAAGGATAGCCCAAGTTGTTATCAGCGCTCCGTTCAGAAGCCTGCATCACTGATGGTATGGGGTTGCATGAGCGCTTGTGGCATGGGCAGCTTGCATGTCTGGAAATCTAGACGTCATCTCTTTCAGGGAAGACCCTGCATTTTTCAACACGATAATGCCAGACCACATTCTGCAGCAATCACAACATCATGGCTACGTAGGAGAAGGATCCGGGTACTGAAATGGCCAGCCTGCAGTCCAGATCTTTCACCTATAGAGAACATTTGGCGCATCATAAAGGGAAAGGTGCGACAAAAAAGGCCCAAGATGATTGAACAGTTAGAGGCCTGTATTAGACATGAATGGGAGAGCATTCCCATTTCTAAACTTGAGAAACTGGTCTCCTCTGTCCCCAGACGTCTGTTGAGTGTTGTAAGAAGAAGGGGGGATGCCACACAGTGGTAAAAATGGACCTGTCCAACTTTTTGGGAATTTGTTGATGCCATGAAATTTGGAAACAACAGATTTTTCCCTTAAAATGATACATTCTCTCAGTTTAAACTATCGATCTGTGATTTGTGTTCTATTCTGAATAAAATATTAGATGTTGGCACCTCCACATCATTGCATTCAGTTTTTATTCACAATTTGTTTAGTGTCCCAACTTTTTTGGAATCCGGTTTGTAAAACTAAATAAAAACTAAACAAAATAAAAGTGAAGTGCACCCCTAAAGCCCTTGTTTGTGATAAATTGTGCCATATTAATTTCATTATCTTAGCCATAGGTGCGAGTTTAAAAACAGGAAGATGCATAAATGGATTAGTTGAATGAGGAACCTGTCTTTAAAATAGTTATTGAATGTTTACATATTAAAGATTATTATAGATGCTTAACAACCTGTTAATACACCAGAATGCAGGAAATAGCATCTACTTTATTCAAAGTTTTCTGGGGAGGACCCCCCACCCACACCAGTATGTTCCCCCCACATTATAAATGCTTCTGACGCCCCTGACTGTCACAGAAGCCTCAGTCAAAGTTCAGGTGCATTCCATGATACACCTGGCCCGTTTGGTATGACACCTGAGCTAAAAGCGGTTCAGTCTCTCACAATGAATATTATCTGATCGTTAGAACACTTCCTAAAAGATAAACTAAGGACAAATAGTCTAAATCTGTTGTAATACATTAAGTTACAGCGCTTACCGGTGTCTGCTTGGAAAGGAGAGTGGACATTAGCCGCCAACCGACCGATGTCCATATCACTGCCCACAGACGGTCCCGCCCACAAAACGTCACGAAACGTTCTCCCAGCCAATCAGATTCGTTCATTGGTCATCTGAAGAGGGTGGGCAGGAAATGCTTCAGCCAATCAGACGTGCTGATTTGGTGGTGACAGTAAGCGCCGTGGACTCCGCAGACCAATGCAAAACCGATCGAGCTTGTTAAATAATCGTAACTTTAATCGCATAATTAAAGTTTTCATCAATACATAGCTCTTAAGTAGCCGTCAGAAACTGCAAAGATTTGTTCCGATCACTTGGTTGGTTATAAGGGTATTTTCAAAAGTAATAATAAAAATAAAATCCCGATCTTGACAATTTTATTGTTGAAAATTTCAAGGTCTACACGTCATTGTCTTTGTGTCATTTATCAGTTTGGTTTCCTGAATCAAACCCTAATTGTATTTTTTTTTATATAAAGGTTAAATGATTTTTTTTTTTAATTATTATTATCTGCATTTCTGTTCCGTGATATTTAATTAATAAATAATCCATATGTGCGTCATGAATACAATACAGTACTACAAAAGAAAATCTGATTTTTCACATTAGATGGTTTAATGCATTTGTGTGACATTTTTTGTCATTTGTTTTTGTTACTTTATTGATATTAGAACCATGTCCTCCTCTATCTTTTTACAACTATAGGCCAAAGGACTGGTCTTGCACAGAGGACCAGCACCTTGCAGCTGGAGCCCTGCTGGACCAACACAACGTTCACTGACCAGAATTCATGGGAACACCAGTTCATGACCCAACATTAGATTAGTGTCTTGCAGATAGTGAAGTCAGACTACATGACCCATTGGAAGGTTCTGATGAGATTAGTGAAAGTCCAGGGGTCCTCGACTGGCGTTCTGGATGCTGAAATGCAGCGTTTAATTTCTGAGAACATATGGAGCAAATTTCTAATCAGGTCAGTGAATAGTCTTTTGAAAACTAGGATGACAAAGTGAAATCTTACAGCGGTCTGATAAATTATGCAGTGTTGATGACATTATTTGACTTGATTGCTTACCTAAGCTTAGAGGTGACTTGGGCCAGTTTGAAAGTTTAATCATGACTTTGATGCAACTAAAATGAAATCTTCCTGTCCAGGACCTGGCGTACAGCTTTCGAACATCATCTTCAATCGTTTCAAGCACATTTCTGATTGTTATTCATATTTTGTACATAAAACTGAAGCACCTTAGACTGACATGGAAACAGAGGAATTACAAAAATGCCTGTGGAATTAAAAAAAAAAAAAAAACTGGTTTGAAACAGATGGTTATTGATTGTGTTGGAAGTACCAAGCAGCCAAAATACCTTCTGGCTAAATCAATGGTCTGGTCTTCCTACAAACGTGCCAATACTGTAAAATTTCTAACGGGCATTACCCCACAAGGGTCAATTTCATATCGTTCAAAGGCCTGGGCTGGAATAGATAAACATGCCATCAAAAAATGTGGACGACTAAACAAGTTTCTGCCTGAGGATCTTGTCTTAGCAAACAGAAGTTTTATTATTGCAGAGCTGTGCCATGGTTAAACGTATCTAGTTTTATAAATGGAATAGCCCAGAAGGCTGATGTTAATAGAGACAAGGCGAAACACTGTCCATGTCGAGGGTGACAGGTTTGGTATGAAAAAACACACAATGCTGAAAGATAAACTGCTTGTGGCCTTCTTAACAAATGATGGTGTCCCTATGGATGAGATTCATGTTCACTTACGAGTAGTGCCATTAACTTGAATCTTGAATTAACGAAGAACACCAAATGTACACAGGTCACATCAAACGGTGATTAGAAACATTTCAGTGACTTATATTTTCAGCATCAGCGTACTTCTAGAAAGATATTACTTTTGAATTTTACTCAACTTTTCATGCACACAATCTGCTATGGACGAAATGTGGTAAACATAAAAACTTTAAACTTTGATGAGTCAATGGGGTCATCTTTGGAAAACTACTCATGTCAACAGTGGATGCACTTGCTCAATATTACTTCATGTTTGTTAGATTCAACACCAGTTATTCAAAATATCCAAGTTTATTTGCAGCATTACTTTCTACTGCTCGTTGTACATTTGATGTTACTTACCAAGTTTGTAAAGTAAATGTACAAAACACTATAAGTGTTATTTTCTGCTCTGTTGATTTAAAAAGTACTTTAAACAACCATCAGAATCTTAGGGTGCAATACGTTTTTAAATACAGTGTTCACAAACTACTTCATCCTAATTTGAATTAGTTAATATTACCAAATAAGTTTCATACACTGTTCTTATAAAAACAAGTATCACTGTGATATATATCTATGGGAACATGACAGTATGACTTGATAAATGTCAGTAAAAAGAAAATATATACTGTAAAATTTATTTTAGATCGCAACACAAAGCAGTAATTCCTCCAGATACTTTTCACTGTGTTTTGAATGGAGCGTTGTTCAATAAAGAGAAACTATTTTAAACCCAGGATCATTCATATTTATTGAAGGCGTATATTTAAACCATATATAAACAATTTATTTTTGAAGACACAAAACAGATCAACTAAACTGAAGGCAAGAAGTGATTCATTTAGTGTTACAATAAATACATCAAATTATTGAGCAAAATAAACATAATGCAGGTTTTTTTAATGAGTTTTCCCACAAGTGTAATCAGTAATTATTCACATTCATTGGAATGATGTCAAAAGAAGCATGTGCTGAAAAGCTCCGTCTATAGTAGGATGGATAATATTCTATTTTTGCAGACAGAACAAAAGTTTTTTAATTATTTTATGGTTTAAAGTGTAATTTCCAACATTTTTATGTGGTGTTTGAGTAAATCTGATGAAAGTCTTGCTTGTTGCAGATATTTCTTTGAACCACCTTAGTTTGAAAAAGTACAATTAAAGTCCAAAGGATTTGATGAGCTAACAGCTTGTCTGATGACCAAAGTGGATCGCTTCAGTCTTAAAATAACTTCAATATCAAACATCTTAGGGGTTCATACAAACCCTAATATTTAAACCTTCACAGCACTGTGACGTTTGTTTTACACCATCATTCTGGCAGAAATGCGATGAAACTTCTGCTGGAAGTGACCCAGTCTGCACCAAAAATGCTAGAGTTAGCTGCTAATGATTGAATAACAAGTGCACGGAATGTAAATAAGAGTTAGTGAAGAATTTGGAGTTCTTGACAAAATGACAGTTGTCTGTCGTACTTGTTCATCCAGGCTAAGACTTATTTATAATCCTTTCACCGATATTTCACACGTTTATGGGTACAAAATGGTCCCAAACTGAATGTTTGCTTTAATATGTGATGTCAAGTTGTCTCAAGTACCAGACTAGGCTTTACCCTCTTTCACAGATGACTTCAATGACACTCTGCTCCATTGGAGAAGGGTCCAGGCAGCGATGGGCGGAGCTTCCCACAATCTCATCCAACAGGAAATGCACTAGATTCTCGTCAGATACAAAGCGCCACAGGTACATTTGCAGGTAGTGGCAGTCCACCTGGATCTGCTGCAGGCCATATCGGCCAAATGTACGCAGACGGACGCATTCAAGGAAGGTCTTCAAACTGATTTTGATAATTCCTGTCATCACAGAGACCTGGCACAGAGGAGGGAGCATGAGTTTAATTAATCTCAAAAGCAATCAAGGAGCAACGTTATCAAGCTGAAAAACATCTCTGCTCCCTGGGTCTCACAAGTCTACTTGACAAGCTACCAGTGAAACTGAAAGCACAACAGGGTCAAGGAAGCACTTACTCAAAGGTTCCTGCAGGCACACAAGTGTTCTGGTTGCAGACTCTGTTCTGATTGTATAATGTGATGCTTTTGATGCAAATTAAATCACCAGATTGGACTACCTAAAAATCAGTGCTCACCTTGTTGAACTCTACAGAGCTGAAGATGTCAATCCTCTCAGAGAACAGCTTGTGAATGTTGCTCAGCAGGTTGGTATCCATGGGAGCGCTGCAAGTAAACGGGATAAATAATTCAAAGAAATCCCTACATACGACCAAGTCTGATGAATTATTATGCCTACAGAACAGAAAGCTGCAATAAAAGATCTGAAATGACACCAAAAAGGAACAAGAGTATTGCATGCTCACATTATATGTTCATCGTCAGACTATTACACATCAATACAGCAGCCATCCATCAACTTTAACCGCTTCTTCCTGTCAGAGTCACTGGTGCTAATATGCAGCAGTCACTGTGCGAGAGGCAGGGTACACCCTGAAGAGGTCAACAATACCGTAATATATAACTTTTGACCTTGATTTTTGACCATGACCGTAGAGCTGGGGTAATGAAAAGATTATGCAACACTCCAAGTAGCGGTGGAACAAATTTGTATCAAGTGTTGTTAAATTATCTTGAGCACGTCAGAAGTTATGGCCTGGACAAGTAAAGATTTCACTTTAACTTTGACCTTGATTTATAATCTTGACCTTGAAGCTGGGATGATGAACTCAGACAAGACAGAGTTAGTGGTTTTTGAACCTGAGCATCTTAGGAATACCAAACATTTTTCAGTCAGGTCATCTGGACACTTTCTTTTTTTGTGCTGAAACATTTCACCTTCGATCCGGAAGACTTAATGAGTCAAGGAAACACACAACAAAACTGATTCTTCCCCCAACAGCTTACTCCAAAGTGGAACAAACCAGTTTTGCTTGTGATTAGATGGTCTCTTTGGTACGCCCCCTCCTCCATTGCCGTCCCTCTTCCTTGTTGACAGTCTTGTCAAACTGGTTGAAAACAACAAAGTCCATGCTCAATAATCCAGGTATAAAATCCAACATTTTTCAGTCAGGTCATCTGGACAGTTTCTTTTTTTGTGCTGAAACGTTTCGCCTTCGATCCAGAAGGCTTCATCAGTCAAGGAAACACAACACAAAACTGATTCTTCCTCAAACAGCTTACTCCAAAGAGGAACAAACCAGTTCTGCTTCAGTGCTGTCCAGATGACATGACTGAAAAATGTTGGATTTTATACCTGGATTATTATTATTATTCCTGGATTATTGAGCATGGACTTTGTTGTTTTCAACCAGTTTGACAATACTGTCAACAAGGAAGAGGGCCGGCAATGGAGGAGGGGCGTACCAAAGAGACCATCTTAGCACCAACATAACTGGTTTGTTCCACTTTGGAGTAAGCTGTTGGAGGAAGAATCAGTTTTGTTGTGTGTTTCCTTGACTGATGAAGCCTTCCGGATCAAAGGCGAAAGTTTCAGCACAAAAAAAAGAACATGTCCAGATGACCTGACTGAAAAATGTTGGATTTTATACCTGGATTATTGAGCATGGACTTTGTTATCTTAGGAATACATTTTGCCCTCCTTGGATGGCATTATGGGGGCCGAGATGGGGCAAGGCAGCCGACTCGGGACCCCAAAGTCCCAAGTTTGATCCCCAGTCATTGCACATCTCGTGGTGTCTCTGAGCAGCACACCCTTTCCCCAATTGCTCCCCAGCGCCTTAAATAACTGCCCACTGCTCCACCTGGGGGTGGATGGGTTAAATGCAGAGCCAATTTTGCCATTGTATGGGAACATACAATGATGAAAACTCGGGGCGGCTGTGGCTGAGTGGTTAGAGCAGTCGTCCTCCAATGCAAGAGTTGGGGGTTCGAACCCACCAGCAGTCACATGTCGAAGTGTCCCTGGGCAAGACACTGAACCCCTCATTGCCTCTCATAGCCTCCGATGTGTGTCCCATCGGTGTATGAATGTGATAAAGCTCTGATTAGTCTCTTTAGAATGATTTGTTCAATTAGCTTTGTAGAGATGTAGAGTGCTGTATGAATGGGCAAATGAGTACACAGATTGTAGTGTAAAGAGCTTTGAGTATCTTGATTAGATAGAAAGGCGCTATATAAGTACAGTCCATTTACCATAACACATTATTATTATTATTATTATTGTTAATCTGTCCTCCAGCTCTAATATTAAAAATATTGGTGTTATTTTTGATCAGGACAAGTCTTTTATACCCCACATTAAAAATGTTACTAGAACTGCCTTCTTCCACCTGCGTAATATCTCTAAAATTAAAAACATCTTATATAAAAATGATGCAGAAAAACTGGTCCATGCATTTGTCACGTCTAGACTGGACTATTGCAATGGTTTATTATCCGAGTGTCCAAATACTTCTTTAAAACGTCTTCAGTTGATCCAAAATGCTGTTGCCAGAGTCTTAACTGGAGTTAGTGGGAGAGATCGTATCTCTCCAGTTTTAGTTTCTCTCCATTGGCTCCCGGTCTAATTCAGAACTGAATGCAAAATCTTACTTTTAACCTACAAAGCTCTCAACAACCTAGCTCCATCTGACATTGTTACATCTTACATTTTTGGATGTAACTGGGACCCTGTGTACAAAATTTCACTCCACCACATGTACCATATGTGGTGCGAATGACAAATAAAGAAACTCTGACTCTGACATTACAGATCTTATTGTTCCATATTTTCCTAACAGAGCACTTGGCTCTCAGACTGCAGGTTTACTTGTGGTTCCTAGAATTTACAAAAGCAGAATGGGAGGAAGATCTTTCAGTTATCAGGCTCCTCTCTTGTGGAACCAACTTCCAGTTTCTGTCCGTGAGGCTGACACATTGTCCAGTTTTAAAACCAGGCTCAAGTCTTTCCTTTTTGATAAATCCTATAGTTAGGGTCGGGTTGGGTTTCTTGAGCTATACCTAATCTCATCAAACAAATGGTTTGTATTTGTTATTATTTCCATCTAAATGTGTTTTTTTGTTTGTTTGTTCTTTCCTCCTAGTGAGGGACCTGCTTGCCTCCATCCTGAAGCTACCATTCTGGATCTGCTACTCCTTCCTGTTCTCTCAAACCCAGCCGGTTGAAGCAGATGACCGCTTGTCCTGAGCCTGGTTCTGCTGGAGGTTTCTTCTTGTCTTCTTGTTAAGAGGAAGTTTTTCCTTTCCACTGTTGCCTTTGTACCAGCTCAGGATGGGAGATTGCGAAGAAATGAAGACTCAACACAATCCACTGGCTACCCTACCCCGCCTTAGATAAATAGTATCAAGTTTCATTAAATTATCTTGAGTGGATCAGAAGTTATGACCCAGACAAGAGAAAGGTTATGGACATACGGAGACTATAACATATTATGACCTGTCTTTTTCGACGGGCATATAACAACAACACCAACAACAACAACAACAACAACAACAACAACAACAACAACAACAACAATAAAAAAGGGAGACAAGGCATAATTTGTCCTTCATATGTTTGAGTTTAAACTCCGGCTGATCTGTGTCTTTTCAGCCACCTTACCTTGGAGTGTAGCTAGCAGCGTAGCGGGCTTGCTGCCTGGAGCTGCTGTAGACAGAAAAGGTCCTTTTGCTGGAGTCGCTGCTGTGTGCCTTTCTCACACCTTCTTCGTACAAAAGGCCCACCTTTTATGCACAACATTCACAAAACAGCCTGTTACTATACTAAACAGAAAGCATGTGGTCAGAAACAGGAAAACACTATTTAACGTGGCACCTGCACATCTATCGAGGTTGTATCCTCCACTACTCTCTTCATCACAGCGCGGACGTTTCGTGGCTCAATAGTGTTAACCCAGTCACGAGTTTCAACGCTCTTTCTTAACATCTGGGAGATGATGAGACCCTGGACCTGGACAAGCAAACACAAAAGCAGGAGAAATTGCACTGTTTGATATTTGTGGGTCTTTTCACTCTGTACTCAGTTGTAGATATTTAAAAATAAAAAAACACCTTGACATAATGGTTGAGTAGTTTCTGTGCTGCCTCTCTGGCTTCTGCACATAAAGTTGTGACTGGTGTTACAGGACTCTGGTGCTAAAAAACAGATAGTGACATAATTTGTCAGGAACAATGCCTTAAACCAAACATTCAAACATCTTGCAAAAAGTAAACATTTCTTAATGTAGTCTTGATACCTGCACAAGAAATTGTTCATCTGTCAGTATGAGTATGTAGGAGATAGTGGAGGTTTCAAAATCCAAGCAGAGACGAGACAACAGCAACAGAAGGGCCGGGGGAGTGGAACCTCCTTTGTCTCCTGCGCTCTCACAAAACTGGCGAGAAGACTGGCACACAAACTTGATGAAGCTCACCACCAGACTCTCCCGTACACCCTGGCTACAGAACTCCCCCTACAAGAAGGCGAACAAAGCATCAACAGAAGTAAACAGAAAATATTTGTGATGAAAATAGAAATCTGATAGTTTTACGCGTTTTGTGTTTACCTTGAAGTACGGTTTGTTAGAGAATGTAATGTCTTTAGCTGTGAAGAGATGCACTGAAGCGAGCACTGACTTAATCTGGTTGAGGATTAAAGCTGACAGAGAAGAGAGCAGCTCAGGGAGGCTGGTTGGAACATCTCTCCCAGATGCAGGCCCACCTAGGTGAGCTCCACCTCCAGCCACAGAGAGACGAGGTGTAGCCAAGGCCTGTCTGACGTCCGTCAGGCAGTCCATGTAGAAGCTCTGCAGAGCAGAGAGGTACTGCTTCACTCGCTCCGTCGCTGCTCGTACCACAATCTCCGTCCCCTTGTTGGGCACAGTCGAGCCCGGCAGCAGCTTGGCCACCGCCTGAAGTCTGCGGTGGAAGCGATCGAGTGCGCGAACCAGGAGGGAGTTATCTCCAACTCCTTTCTCCTCTTGTATTCGCCTCTCGACAAGCGAGAAATACCTGTCAGTTAGATCATCCACGAAGGAGTGGAGTTTGCCATTTGCCATCTGAGGAATATTCTTTGATGCGAGTTCCCCGGTCTGAGCGTGGTTGATGAATAGTTCTTGATAGGATGTAATGACTAAACATAAGCTGCTAACAAACTCATTGCAGCCTCGGTCTATGAATTCCAGGATGTCAGTGTTTGAGGTGGGAGAAGGCAGAAAGCTTGTTTTAGGAGAATTATCAGTTAGAGATCCTGCAGAAGCTGTAGTGGATAACCTGTGAGCAGAAGCTTCTTTCACAGCAGACACGTATGGTTTTATCTCTGCCTCTAGTCCCTGGAGGTCTAATTCGAGTCGAGACCGGGCATGGTTCAGGAATTTATCACAGAGCTCCTCTGCCGGCTCGTCCAGCTGAAGAAGGAGCTCCACACACTCAGACAGATCTTTGGAACTTGTCCCACCATCCCTACAAGCACAAGTAAAGTAGACAAAAAACACTGATGGAGGAAAATGTTTTTGTCGCATTCCCTTCAGCCACACTTCTTATGGAACATGATTGTTTTGAATTGGGTTCCATCAAAGGGACACCATAACCTGGTTTAAGATGTTGGCACCTGAATTTCTGTCGCAGCTTCTGAGCCAGCTTCTCCATGATGGCGTGACAGTCATCCTGAATCCCCTTGAAGGAGGGCAGGTGGCTGTACTGCTGCAGCACACAGCGGGCACGCCGGTGGAAGCTCACCGCCTGAGCATAGGCCTGCAGCTCCAAACACTTATTCAATCGAGCAGGCAGCTCAAACAGAAACTGGAGCTTCCTCAGTAGAGCGTGGACCCCTGAAGCAGAACAAAACGAGGCAAATAAATAAATAAAACATAATTCTCATGTGGTTTCAATAAAACCAACAGCAAGTTTAAGTCTCATGTGGTTTCAATAAAACCAACAGCAAGTTTAAGTCTAACCCGAGAGTTTTGTAATCTGTGCATGCTGGTCTTGAAGAGTGCCGCTGATGCTCGCACTAAAGTCAGTGATCGCTGCCATGTTGGCGGACAGGCAGTCCATTTCATCTTCCATCTTTTTGAAATCATTCTTCATCTTTCTTATGGTGTCTGACAAAGAAAGAACAGTTACTGCACCAATTCAGTTGACATGGAAACAACAGTTTGCTTGATGTTCTGTTTACCTGTAGCAGATATGAACTTGTTGTAGTTTTCATACACTAGGGTCTGCATGTCGCTGTCCAAGGAGCGGATCTGCTTCACCATGCAGGTCTCATGGTCCATTAACTCAGCGAGAGAGCACTCCCTTCTAAGCTGTATCCAGATACATAAAAAATAATGATCACCCTTTAAAACAGAACATATTCAATCAGGAGACAAGATGATCATTTCTTATCGTGACAGTAAGTGCCTTCTTTATCAGCAGCACAAAACACAAGCATTATGTTTAAAAAGCTAACATCTCACTCATGATGGTGAGAAGTTAACCGACAGCACCTTGTTGAGGTAGAGTTCTGGGTCAAAATGCGGCCCATTGATGTCGCAGGGATCCAGAGACTGTGGATGGTCCGGGGCCTTTCCCTCCTCGTTCAGCCCGTAGTAGAGCTTCAGCATGCCGTGCACCCTCCGCCGTCTACCGGGCTCCTCTGACAGCGCCACCGAGCCGTCCGCCTCAACGTCCATAGTGAATTCCGGCCAGCTGACAAGAAGCAACCGAAAGATGACTCACAAACAAGCGACACCTCATAAACAAGACCCGGGAACAAGTATTTATCGTTTAAAATGAACTAATGTGTTTTTAATTTAGATATTTCCCCTAAACAATGAGGTTTTCCCAAGCAAATATCGAGGAAAAATGGTCATTTTCTCTGGAAAAGTGGCAGCTACCAGAAAACGTTGTTGTTTCCGGGTTTGTAGCCAATCCAGAGTTACGTTCTCAAAAAATATGCGTAAACGGCCCGGGTGCGCTACTGCGCATGTCCGAAACAGACGATTCTCCCAAAAAGAAATAGAAGGCATGATTTAACCTTTTTTGTGACTGTCGAAACTGAATCACGGAATACAATAAAAATATTGTTGAGCTGGAACATTGTCAGATTGTCACGAAAGTTTAGGAATTGGTTTTCTCTTTAATTGTACCAAAACTGTGCTTTTGGGCTGGAAACTCAGCTGTCATTGATCAAAGGGAATTCTCAAAAATGGTTGCGTACTGCTTTAGACTTTAATTCAAACTTTAAATTTTTTTCACACTACTTTATACTGAGTTTTTCTCATAAGATCCTATTTACCCACATAGGTTGCCTAATAACTGCTAGCTGATTTTAAAGCACTTTTATTGCTTTTAATAATGTGAGCCAAGCAACCCAACCCCAGAGCAAAAGTTCAGTTATTAATGCCACACTTATGTATTGATCTTTAATTAGGATTAAAAAAAAATTCAGTAATAGCTGCATACTCAAAGTATTAATTTATAAAACAGAAAGGCCAAAGAGTAACCAGTACAGGCAATGGAGAGCACATTACACCAGTTTTGGCCTCACTGCACTGACTACCGGTTCACCTTCGAATCCAGTTAAAAATACTCCTGTATGTCTACAAATCGCTGAACAGTTTTGCACCCCCCATCTCTTTGATCTGCTACAACCGTATGTCCCACTACGTTCCCTGAGGTCAGTGGACCAGTTGCTCCTCAGTTCCAGGAACTCGTCTTAAGCGCGGAGGTGACAGGGCCTTCTCTGTAGCAGGACCAAGACTTTGGAGCGAGTCTGCTTGTCAGACTGGCCCCCTTCCTCTCGGTTTTCACATCCCGTTTAAAAACTAACTACTATTCAGTAGCTTTCAACACCAGATGATCTGTGTTGTGAACCTGTACGCTCCACACTGGTTTGTCGTCATATTTATTATCTGCATAGTTTTTATGTCTACATTTTTGATTTTCATTTTCATTTTGTATTTTGCTTCGTGTGTTTGTTGTTCTGTCTGTACAGCACTTTGGCTGGCCTTGTAGCTGTTTTAAGTGCTCTATAAATAAAATGGTATGGTATGGTAAGAGAAACAAAAAAGACATTACAGTTTGTTGCCCAAATACACGCTGCTGTTGCTAAAGCACAGAAGCAAATCGCTTTACAGAATGTTTTAATTTTATTGATTAAGAATCAAAAACACCCCAATGATGAGCAAAATAAATGAACGCTATGTTCCTTCGCCTGGACGTGGGTCAATGGGGCCCCACTCTGGAGCCAGGCCTGGAGGTGGGGCACGCAGGCGAGCGCCTGGTGGCCAGGCTTTTACCCATGGAGCTCAGCCGGGCATAGCCCGAAGAGGAGACGTGGGTCCCCCTTCCCAAGGGCTCACCACCTGTGGCTCTGGAACCAGTTTCCTTGAGAGGGGTTGGACACTCTTCCACTCTGGAGTTGCCCCTGGTGAGAGGCGCAGAGCAGGAGTGGGCATACTTATTGCCCCCCATCTTGATGCCTGTGTGTTGCGGTTCACCTCGGTGAATGAGAGGGTAGCCTACCTCCGCCTACGTGTGGGGGGATGGGTTCTGACTGTTTGTGCTTATGCACCAAATGGCAGCTCAGATTATCCACCCTTTTTGGAGTCCTTGGAGGGGGTGCTGGAAAGTGCACCTCCTGGGGACTCCCTTGTTCTGCTGGGGGACTTTAATGCTCACGTGGGCAATGACAGTGAGACCTGGAGGGGTGTGGTTGGGAGGAACAGTCCCCCCCCCCCGATCTGAACCCTAGTGGTGTTCTGTTGTTGGACTTCTGTGCTCGTCATGGATTGTCCATAACAAACACCATGTTCAAGCATAAGGGTGTCCATATGTGCTCTCGGCACCAGGACACCTTAGGCCGCAGTTCGATGATCGACTTTGTCGTCATCTCATCTGATCTGCAGCCACATGTCTTGGACACTCGGGTGAAGAGAGGGGTGGAGCTGTCCACTGATCACTACCTGGTGGTGAGTTGGCTCCGATGGTGGGAGAGGATGCCGGTCAGACCTCGCAGGCCCAAACATATTGTGAGGGTTTGCTGGGAACATCTAGCATAGTCTCCTGTGAGATGGAGCTTTAACTCCCACCTTGGAGAGAACTTTGAACATGTTCCGGTGGAGGTAGGGAACATTGAGTCCGAGTGGGCCATGTTCCGTGCCTCTATTGTCGAGGCAGCTTACCAGAGCTGTGGCCGCAAGGTTGTCTGTGCCTGTCATGGTGGCAACCCTCAAACCCGGTGGTGGACACCGGCAGTGAGGGATGCTGTCAGGCTGAAGGAGTCCTATCGGGCCTTTTTGGCCTGTGGGACCCCGGAAGCAGCTGATGGGTACCGGCAGTCCAAGCGGCATGTGACTCGGGTGGTCGCTGAGGCAAAAACTCGGGCATGGGAGGAGTTTGGAGAGGCCATGGAGAATGACTTCCGCACGGCTTCGAGGCGATTCTGGTCCACCATCTGGCGTCTCGGGGGGGAGTGGTACACCACCAACACTGTTTATAGTGGGGATGGTGTGCTGCTGACCTCAACTCGGGATGTCGTGGGTCGGTAGGCGGAATACTTTGAAGACCTCCTCAATCCCACCTGCATGTCTTTCACTGAGGAAACGGAGCCTGGGGACTCTGGGTCGGGCCCTCCAATCTCTGGTGCTTAGGTCACCGAGGTGGTTAAAAAGCTCCTCGGTGGCAGGGCCCCAGGGTTGGATGAGATTCGCCCGGAGTTCCTTAAGGCTCTGGATGTTGTAGGGTTGTGTTGGCTTACGCGACTCTGCAATATTGCGTGGGCATCAGGGGAAGTTCCCCTGGATTGGTAGACTGGGGTGGTGGTCCCCCTATTCAAAAAGGGGGACCATAGAGTGTGTTCCAACTACATGGTATCACACTCTTAAGCCTCCCTGGTAAGGTCTACTCGGGGGGTTCTGGAGAGGAGGGTCCGTCGGATAGTCGAATCTCGGATTCAGAAGGAGCAGTATGGTTTTCGTCCTGGTCGTAGAACACTAGACCAGCTCTACACTCTCAGCAGGGTCCTGGAGGGTGCGTGGGAGTTTGCACAACCTGTCTACATGTGTTTTGTGGACTTGGAGAAGGCGTTCGACCGCGTCCCTCGGGGAACCCTGTTGGGGGTACTCTGGGAGTATGGGGTACCAGGCCCTTTGATACGAGCTGTTAGGTCCCTGTATGACCGGTGTCAGAGCTTGGTCCGCATTGCTGGCAGTAAGTCGGGCTCGTTCCCGGTGAGAGTTGGACTCCGCCAAGGTTGCCCTTTGTCACAGATTCTGTTCATAACTTTTATGGACAAAATTTCTAGGCGCAGCTAAAGTGTTGAGGGGATCCGTTTTGGTGGCCTTAGGATTGCGTCTCTGCTTTTTGCAGATGATGCAGTCCTGTTGGTTTCATCAGATCGTGATCTACAGCTTTCGCTGGAGCGGTTCACAGCCGAGTGTGACACAGCCGTGATGAAGATCAGTTCCTCCAAATCCGAGGCCATGGTCCTGAGCCGGAAAAGGGTAGAGTGCCCTCTCCGGGTCAGGGAGGAGGTCCTGCCCCAAGTGGAGGAGTTCAAGTATCTTGGGGTCTTGTTCACGAATGAGGGAAAAATGGAGCGTGAGATCGATAGGCGGATAGGTGCAGCGTCTGCAGTGAAGCGGGCGCTGTACAGGTCTGTTGTGGTGAAGAGAGAGCGGAGTCAAAAGGCGAAGCTCTCAATTTACCTATAGATCCATGTTCCTACCCTCATCTATGATTATGAGCTTTGGGTTGTGACCGAAAGAACGAGATCTCGGATACAAGCGGCTGAAATGAGTTTTCTCCGCAAGGTGTCTGGGCTCTCCCTTAGAGATAGGGTGAGAAGCTCGATCATCCGGGAGGGACTCAGAGTGGAGCCGCTGCTTCTCCACGTCGAGAGGAGCCAGTTGAGGTGGCTCGGATATCTGTTTAGGATGCCTTCTGGACGCCTCCCTGGTGAGGTGTTCCAGACACGTCTCACCGGGAGGAGACCCAGAGGAAGACCCAGGACACGCTGGAGGGACTATGTTTCTCGGCTGGCCTGGGAACGCATCGAGATTTCCCCCGGAGGGACTGGCCCAAGTGGCTGGGGAGAGGGAAGTCTGGGCCTCCCTACTTAAGCTGCTACCCCCGCGACCCGACACCGGATAAGCGTAAGAAAATGGATGGATGGATGATTAAGAATCATCATTCAGACTGATACTAAGCTGCATTATGAGTGAAAACATTAAAAGGCATTTATAACATTTTATTATTTGGGTTATCAAAATAATATACATAATGGACTTGCGACCTGTCCAGGGTGTCCCCCGCCTCTCGTCCAGTGACTGCTGGATATGGGCACCAGTGACCCCGCGACCCGAAAAGGAAGCGGGTAATAATGGACAATATGAATACATAAATCTACGACTGTTTAACCTTCGGAGCCAGTTCAAAATGGCTACTAGAGCTAATGGACCTAGCCAACAAAATGAACAAATCTCCATTTTACAGATAGAGCTAAAGTTTGATGTGGTAGTAGCTGAGGGTCAGTCACAACACACAATCTGAGGGTGATATTTTGCTATACCTCATGACATCACACCTAATATTATTCTCAAGGTTTGAATAAAATGGCTACAGCTCCAATTAAAATCATATTGAATTAAAACTTCTCTTTAAATGAGCAATTACAAAACAGCTTTTAGGATTGTTTGCATAATAACTGATGTTTGAGACATCTGTGTGTTTATTTTTTTATTTCAGCAGTTTCAATCCTCCATATACATATTACAAATACAACATTTTTGCAAATATTAAATGCATCTGATAGAAATGACAAAGTATTTGTTAATTACATGAAAAAGAAGCCACACTTTACTGCATCTGATCAGAACATAAATACTGTTTACGGAAGGTTCTGTGAATAAATGTGTCTGTAAATGAAGAAAACCTGCAGCCCAAAGTGATTATGCCTTCAGGATACAGTACTTTAGTTTTAGGTAGTGGAGTAGTTCACATGTTTCAAGATTTCTAGAGAAGCAAGAAACTTTAGACTTGACCAATGTTTACTGCAATACTCTTCAATCAGCAGGAAAGGTACAATGATGACTGTGAGGAAAATAGATTCAAAAACACAACTGTTGAAACCATTGCAATATCAATATTGTACCAAAAATTGTTGTCGAGATACCAAGTTATTACAAACAAAAAGGCACTTTAACCTTTTGCAAAGTGTCAGCGTTTAATTTGACCTGATTCTGCTTTACTTGAAAGAACAGACACATGTATGAAGCAAAAAGTTAAAACGGTCTCTGAAGAGCTAAGGAACAAAATTAAACCATTTATCGATAGATAATATTTATAAACTTTTTGTTAGTAACAATAGTGCAACTTCATATAGAATGAGTGGACTGTTGGAATGTGTATCTACATGACACATGCATAGTGTGTGTGTGTTGGCAACAATGCTGCCACAGGTTACAGACAGTAGCTGAGATAGTTTAAAGTGTAGAAAAACAACGTTCCATAGTTTGTAGGATGAGGAGTAAACGACAGAAAACTTGACGCCAGCGCTGACCAGACACGTTCCAACAGAAGGCAGTGACGTTAGCAGCCAAAGCTTCTTTCAATGCAAAGCTTGTTGATCAGGTGTTTGATAAAAAAAAAACAGCTTAAAGTTCAGAGAGATAACTGTGTGTGAGGGGGGATCTGTCACCTAAAGGGATATTACGGCCATTTCGAAGCAGGGTTAAGTACAAACAATAATATCTTACCTGTGATAGTGTTCTTTGGATGACCTGAGCGTAATTAAGTCCGACAGGATTGACAACTAGTCTGAACTGAGTCAAGACCAAAGCATACTGCTGCCATTTTGAAAAAGCTCCTTTCTCTAAAATTTCATATGAGCGTATGACAACAGTTTTACAGATCTTTACATACATGTAACTCTCGTTCTCTGTTGAATTTGGTTCAAAGTGCAAACAGCCACAGCAGCAGCTAGCTGTAGCACCTCTGATGTATTTCATCTTTTTTTTATTTTTTTTACTAAAATAACTACATAATGCAAAACTAAAAGTGGTGTAAAGTTTAAGTGTTTGCACAAATCACAATAAAACTTTGTTGAATTTACTTTGTTCGTGGCTACGTTCAGACTAGCTGTTAGCTCTGACTATCTCTTCAAACTGAAGCTATTCAAAGAGCTATCCACAGATAGGCTTGTTTTGTCATGAAAACTTGAGATTTGAACAGCAGAATTAAAAAATGGCCAGAGCTGTAAGCACAGAAGGTAGCAGAGCCAACGTAAATATCTACTGAATACTGCATGTATAAGATTAGTGATTTGGATTTTGTTTTAGAACATTGAAACTGAAAAAAACAAATAGCATATTATATATATTTTTCTGCTAATCTTAATGGATTACACTTAAAGAAACCACTTAGGGATCTGAAAACGCATCAGTACAAAGCTGAAAACAAGACATTAACTTATAAAATTCATTGCTCCCTGTCCCTTTAACATAAATTGGACCACATCTGTTTTGCATGAAGAAAAGAAATAGCTTCAAACAGCTAGCCACGTACAACTCAGGAGGTTCTTTCATGTCAGAAGTGTTCAAACACATCACATCAGTTTAACTTCGTTTAACTGATCAAACTAATCAAAAAATAATAATCCACTGTAAAAGAATGTGTCTTACATTAATGCCACTAATAAATGAGCTGATTTAAAGATATTGCTCTCAAAGAATATCCAAATAGCCAGATTTAACAATTATTACTATGTCGCCAAAGTTTTAGGTTTAGTTTGTATCTGTAAGAAAACAAGCTCGTTTTTCATCCATAACAACCAACTATTGAATCCAAAGTTTGCAAAACAATAATCAATATGTACTTACATGTAATTTCTACAACACAGCCAATGTGCTCCCATAACAAACACTTAAATGTTTTCTATCAGTCCTTCTCTTAAGTGGCTTCAGTTCTTCGTGAGAACAAGGCACCGGCAGTTTGATAGAAGCAGAATAGTGTCGACACCCCCTCAGACCCTGAAAGTGTTCGTCATGCTGACTGTGGGCAGGCTGCAGACACCTTTTAACAGTTTGGAGAAGTAACAACAAGTTTCATCTGTTGTGAGGACGTATTGCAACATTCTTGATGGTTAAAAAGCCAACAGGCTACGAAGAGGTAATGTAGTGGTTAAGGACTTGTTGTCACGAGTTTAAGGCCATCTATTGAACAGCTGCTTCAGTTCAGCCTTCGAAGCATTAACTTAAAAATATTAATAATCGTGCTGTTTTTCACATTTCTGTACTTTCATTATGTACACCATTTCTGAGGGTAAATATACTCACACTTACAAACTTCTCGCTTGGTCCCTTGCATGTTCATGTAGTTGCAGAAAAACTTTCCAAGCCTTATATTTTTAAATCTCAGTGTAAAATGTTCAGATTTGGTCTTTGCGAGGAACACGGCAGAGACGTTTAACCCTGCTCCTGACTGTCAGTCACCTGCACAGCAGAGTAGGAAGGTGCAGAAGCCTGTCTGGTGAAAAAGGACGCGGCTCTTTTTGGCTTCAGGCGTTTGATTTCTTTTCCTGAAAAGCGAGGAAGAAAGTTAAACACAGACATTTCGTTTGCTTGGGGCTGCTCCTGAACAAACTCACCGTTGTTCACGTAGCTGATGGTGTTCAGCGAGTGCACCCGACTGCACACGACACTGCCTTGCCTCTGCAGCTTCACGCGCCGTCCTCCTCGCCCGTTTTTGGTGCTGCCTTCCTGCTCGGCGGGTCGCTGAGAAACGCTCGCCTCGGTGTCCGTCTCGGTGTCCGCCTCGGCTGCAGCGCCCCCCTCAGACGCAGACTTCAGCTCCACGCAGAACTCGATGAAGCCGCTCATTAGCTGCGCCTGATAGGCAGAAAACCCCACTTTTTCTCATTTCTTTACTGTACAGGAACCAGGGTTATAATCTATTCCTCAGTGCACGGTGAGACAGGCGTGAAGAATTTTGGATCAATTCAAAATCTAGTTAATATTTATTGTTAATAATGTCATGAAACTTCTTGCAATATGCTGAAGTGTGGAAGTGCAGGGCCTGGACGGTTCACTGAGCGAAAAACAACAGACTCTTCACAAAAGAGGCCTTCTGCTCATCTTTGTGTGATTTCTAAATGGACAGAGACAGTTAGGGGGGTTAGAAGCTAACCAACCCCTGAAGCTCCTTTAGCACCGTGATGTGATGTAGTAACAGAGCCAAAACAACCAAAAAGGTAAGCTGGGTTGTGGCTCAATATTGTGGTGAAGTAACAATACTGTATATGGTCTGTGTGATCACCCTGCCACAGGATTAAACAACAAATGTATTACCGAGGGAATACAGATAATGCAACTTTCTATTTAGTTTAAAAAGGTTATGGATATTATTATGGCTGGGAACATTATTCCCCTCTGCCCTGAGAACAAGAAGCCCAAAACAAGCCGAAACTGTCTCCCAAAACAATGTCTCATCTCTGTCCATGAACCATATGTTTGTGTAAACGGAGACTGCTGCTGCCTTCAAGGACACCTCCTAAACTCTGTGAACTCGGCCAAGTGTAGAGGAGTGTAAAAGCGAGCAGATAACGCGGCTTGTGGCTCATTTCTGTGACTGGTCTTCATTGTGTGTACATTTGATGTATATTTATGTAACTTATCCTGAAATCAGACCTTACATGTATAAAATACTGGTTCAAAATCTTCTCATGACATTGAGTGTGCTTCTTTTGGGTAAAGGACGTTAGTGAGAGAGATTTTCTCCAACAACACAAGGAGAATCGCTAAACGGAGTTAATTTCTCATGTTTTGACAACAATACGAAGAGACGTCTGTCAAAACATCTCATCCGCTGCGTTCCACATGTGTGCAGCTAAGTTTTGTTCCACTGTTGGTCCAGTGCTGCTGGCTTCATTTCTGAAAGCTCACGTGTGTGCAGGACGTGGCTGAGTCCATCGGTGATTTATAAAGAGGCAACATAAAAACAGACTGGTCTTTGTGGTCATTTTATGTACTGGTAATCGTTTTGTGAAAAAGCCTAGTGTTTAAAAGGAGGGGACAAACTGACATTCACAGAGGTCATATTCTACATAAGTTGTGTACGTTTCCCTTGTAGAAGGAGAAAAACTGATGGCTGTTGCTGCCACACCAACGGTAGCATCTCACTGGGCTTTAAATGTTGGTGACTGTGGGTGAATGGCCATCCTGATGGAGTCTCTAAACAGTTCAGCAGGAGTTTTCATGAATTTCCTCACTTGAGCCACAGAGGCTTGCAGTCTTGTTGCTTGAGTTTTCCAAACCGTGCACACAAAAATCAGCAGTGGTTTTCAAAAACTGGCTCCACAAAACGCAGCAACACAGTTTACTCGTCACTTGGTTGCAAACACTTAAAATTCATTGAGACTGCAAGTTAAAATTAGCCTAGCTCAGGGATTATTCCTAGTCCTGGAAACTACTCTCAACAGTCACAGCCCAGTGAGATACTAAAATGTTGCACACTTTAGAGCAGGCATGGGCAACATATGGCAACATATGGCCTGAGGGCTTTACTTAAAAAATACTAAATTAAACATCTTGGACAAATACATTGAAAACCTTTCGAGTAAGATAAGCTAAAACTGTTTGTTTTTTTAAAGCTGTGATGTTTCCACAACTAGACTGAAACTTAAAGAATCCAAAAATCAAACATCTAAGTTTATTTTTGGATATTTATGGTAAAAATATATTGTCACAAGAGCCATACAGAAAGTAAGTTTTATATGGAGCATTGGGAATATCCATGTCTTCCAGGAATTTTAAGCCATCAGTTTTCTTACTTGTTTTGAGTAAATCTTCAGTAGCTTGTTGACAGGAGTGCCGTCTTCTTCTCCATCAAACTCCAACCACAGAATGTGCGAGTCCCCCTCCTCCTCAGGGTTGCTGTGGTCCCAAGAGAGCTCATTGAAACGCAGGCCGAGCAGCACGTGCTGCAGGAATCATGACCAGCAGGAGGAAGAAGAATAAACTTTGTGAGCAGAGGACCAATAAAACCTGAGAATGGCAGAATCTGATGCATGTAACAGGTAAAGTGGAACCCAGCGCGCACCTTCTCTTTTGCGTCCATCACATAAACTCCATCCAAGCAGATCCCGATGTTCACAGATTTACGTTTCCCCCGCTGGAGGAGCCCTTGTGCTGGTTTGTCAATCTCACCAAAGAAAAAAGCACACCTGTTGGTGCATTTAGTGTTTGTTAAAACGAGAAGAAGTCAAACTGTAAAAGCTAATAGTTATAAACATGGTTCTTGGACCATTTTCAAATTAAAATATTGTGATTTTTCAGTTATTCTTTTTAAATGTAAAAACCTATGATTTACTGTTTGTACAGTAATGTTGTTTTGGCAAAAAAATAGCAGTACCTCAAGCAATTTGGCAAGTACAGTAGTCCCTCGCTACTTCGTGGTTAGTTTTTCATGGACTCGCTCTATCGCAGTTTTTCAAAATAAGATTGGACATGACACACAAATGGCTGATTGATGGATGAGCTATACGATCGGCATGGAACTTTATTTAAAATAAATTATTTTAAATTATTTAGCACCTGCTGCAACTTTGTGCAGCCCACACTGCAGGATAAGCTTCCTCCTGCAGCTGATCAGCTGATCTCTGTGCAGAGTGGAGAAGTGGGTGTGGCCGAGAGCACTTGCAGGTGGCTGGATAAACTAATACTTACTACTTGGATTACTATTCCTACTTCGCGGTTTTTCACTTATTGCGGGACTTCAGTGTTTGGATCCCCCGTGATAAATGAGGGAGTACTGTATTGCAGTTGATGCAATAGTAAGTGAAAGTCATCCCTAACGTGCATTCAGAGTTAACACTGAAAATTTAATTATTTTTAGTCTGGAAACACAAAGCTTTTCTCATACTTATCCAAACCTGCAAAATACCAACAATCATCTTTCACACTTTTCAAAACTGCATAGGAATCCTGTGTAAACAATAAGAGTATAAACACTTGGCTCCACCAGTTCCTACCCGTAGAAAGGCAGCATGTGGCACATGTTGAGGTACTGATGCAGCAGCTGTTGGGGCTCAGGAGAGTTTCCTGTAGAGGAGCTGATCTTTCTGTACTCGGACAAAAGTTTCTGCTCCAGATCTGTCTGATGGCTGGACTTCCCTCTCAGCGTGGAGAAAAAGCCTCCGCTCCCCATGACAACATGCGCAGGCAGAAAAGATGACAGCTTCTTTTCCCTGCGGACACCAGAGGTCAGATGACTTATTAGGCATCATTCACTGTTAAATGTCTGCTCTGTGGTCCAACGGTCCTGTCTCTGGAACTTTTTTCCAAATAAATTTTCTTACCTTCATTGTTCAATTAAATCACCACCCAGATATACACTACATTGCCAAAAGTATTTGCTCACCCATCCAAATTATCAAAATCAGGTGTTCCAATCACTTCCAGGTGATAACAGTGTATACAATGAAGCACCTAGGCATGCAGACTGTTTTTACAAACATTTGTGAAAGAATGGGACACTCTCGGGAGCTCAGTGAAATCCAGTGTGGAACTGATAGGATGCCACCAATGCAACAAATCCAGTCGTGAAATTTCCTCGCTCCTAAAGGCTCCAGTATACTGCCGCGTATGTCTTTTCACGCGTACGTATGCGTGTACGGTACGCAGAGGGTTCAGATATGATACTCCAGCGTACACCCCAAGCAGCTTCACAGATAAGGAGCGTTTACCTTCGGGACAAATTGAGGTTGCCGATTGGTCATTTGCTGACACGCCTACTGGATTGATTGACAGGTCGGAAAAAAGGAAAAAAAGCGAGCGCTGGCAGCCTCCGCCGCAGCGGTGTTCTGTGTTTAAATGTTGTTAATAAAAAGATCTAAAAAATAAAAAAAAACAGGGAGAGCTGGCTCTACAGCCCACACATCAGACCAGCACACCAGGAAATCTCCAGACCCTCCCGCAGCCACGCTGGACCCGAGTTTAATTCGCTCGTGACAAATTCCTCCATTTCTCACCATTTCAGTCATGGCATCAACGGAGGAGGAAGAGATCACTGCCTCTTGGCAAAAATACAAAACAAAAGGCCAGATCAGGGATGAAGAAGGGGAATTTAATACATTGGTGTTGCATACAAAACAGTCCGTTGCTGGGCAGTTTATTGTGCGACACAGCGTATGCGGTCGTAAAAATTTGAGCTTTGCACGGACATGCCCTGGGGGGTACGTGCGTACCTCTGCATACGTACATGCATACCTCTGCGTATGTACGTGCGTACCTCTGCGTACGTACGTGCGTACCTCTGCGTACGTACGTGCGTACGTACGTGCGTACCTCTGCGTGCGTACCTCTGCGTACGTATGTGCGTACCTCTGCGTACGTACGTGCATACCTCTGCGTATGGATGTACGCGGCAGTATACTGGGGGCTTTAATATTCCACAGTCAACTGTCAGCTGTATTATAAGAAAATGGAAGTGCTTGGGAATGACAGCAACTCAGCCACAAAGTGGTAGGCCATGTAAACTGATGGAGCGGGGTCAGTGGATGCTGAAGCACATAATGTGAAGAGGACGGTAACTTTCTGCAGAGTCAATCACTACAGACCTCCAAACTTCATGTGGCTTTCAGATTAGCTCAAGAACAGTGTGCAAAGAGCTTCATGGAATGGGTTTCCATGGTCAAGCAGCTGCATCCAAGCCATACATCACCAAGTGCAATGCAAAGAGTTGGATGCAGTGGTGCAAAGCACGCCGCCACTGGACTCTAGAGCAGTGGAGGCACGTTCTCTGGAGTGACAAATCACGCTTCTCCATCTGGCAATCTGATGGACAAGTCTGGGTTTGGTGGTTGTCAGGAGAACAGTACTTGTCAGACTGCATTGTGCCAAGTGTAAAGTTTGGTGGGGGGGGGGGGGAATCAAGGTGTGGGGTTGTTTTTCAGGAGCTGGGCTTGGCCCCTTAGTTCCAGTGAAAGGAACTCTGACTTCTTCAGCATACAAAGACATTTTGGACAATTCCATGCTTCCAACTTTGTGGGAACAGTTTGGAGTTGGCCTCTTCCTCTTCCAACATGACTATGCACCAGTGCACAAAGCAAGGGCCATACAAACATGGATGGCAGAGTCTGGTGTGGATGAACTTGACTGGGCTGCACAGAGTCCTGACCTCAACTCGATAGAACACCTTTGGGATGAATTAGAGCGAGAGTGAGAGCCAGGCCTTCTCGTTCAACATCAGTATGTGACCACACAAATGCGCTTCTGGAAGAATGGTCAAATATCCCCATAAACACACTCCTAAACCTTGTGGACAGACTTCCCAGAAGAGTTTAAGCTGTTGTAGCTGCAAAGGGTGGACCAACGTCATATTGAACACTATGGATTAAGAATGGGATGTCACTTAAGCTCATATGTGAGTCAAGGCAGGTGAGCGAATACTTTTGGCACTGTAGTGTATCTTGATATTTTGTCATTAAATATGCTTTTTGTTCCTTGAATGCAATTTTCTTCCAATTAGGTAATTTAGGGCCAATGAGTTGCTTAAGCTTTAATCAAAAGTAGAATATTTACAAAACAAATATCAAATTACCTATAAATCCTCTGTATACAAGAAAATATTCACCTAAATCAGGTTTATTAAATTCAATATTTCTTAATCACACAATATAATGCAGTCAAAAGAATGAAGGAAGAAAAGAAAAACAAACTCGAGACAGATAAATTTAACACTGTCCCCCTAAAAAAAAAGCTTCACTTTATATTGTTAATAGTTCTAGTAAACGTCCAGTATATTATTGAGTAGCTATAAAAAACAGTGCAATGCACTCTGGAGCGATGTACATCGGTTGTAATGAGACTAAAACACAAGGAGTCGAGGCTAAATAGGTAAATTATGACAAATTAGTTAAATTTTGTATTAATCCTTTAATATACGAGTTGAAACGATCAAATGTGATCAGTTTGTAACACCATTTAAATTAGCTCTGGAGCTAACGCCATTAGCTCTGGAGCTAACGTGAAACCTGAGTCATTTCTGCATTCTCCTCTCTGTCAACACACTCCAGTTCAAACTAAAGGGCTGAACATCAGATAATGTCCAAAATTAATATTCAAGCTGCATGGAGCTTGACCTGGAGCAACCTGTCTGTCATTTACCCAGAATGCATTGCAAGATAAATGAAATGGCAAAGTCTGTGTCACTGATTTTTTTTTAATTATAAAAACTAAACAGTCTATAATATTTTTATGGTCTTGTTTTTATAGCTGAAGCGATTATTTATCAAATAATGTCTATTGTTCCAACTAGTCTGAGATCCTTTAAAAAAAAAAAAAAAAGGCCCAACTCCACTTTTAGACTGTTTAAAATATGTTAATAAAATGTTTTAAAGTGATAGGTTTTGACATCTCACAGATCAAAAACATGCATGTTAGGCTGACTGGTAACTCTAAATTGTCCCTAGGTGTGAGTGAGAGACAGAATGGTTGTTTGTCTGTATATGTCCCTGTGATGGACTGGAGACCAATGTTTGCTGGTTAGAAGAACATTGTGTTGTCATTAAGAGTTAGGCTCAAAGGCAGTTTGATATATTTTATTATTAAAACCAGAGATAACTGAAAGTTACAAATGTAACTATCATTCCGTTCCATTCCTTCCCGACTACCAATGAATTAAACGGTCTGCGCAGGTCCATGTTTTATGTAAACTCAGTCACGCATGTGCCGTGTAGCCCACCTGTGAAACGTCTGCCATAAAAAGCACATAGTTTTATTATCGTTTCAATCTTCTCTGTTTTTACCTGTCGTTCTTCTTCATGTCCACGTTCTGCATGTTTATCGCAGGTGCAATAATCAGGCAGGTTGTCTTCCTGCCTGTAACTTTACTGTCAAAGCACTTTTCTTCTTCTAAGGTTGTAGTTGGGAGTTATCCTTCTTCCCTTTATATGTGGAGGTTTGAGTGTGTTTTGTGCAGGCCTACTTCATGCTGTTTTACACTTTAATGTGTTTTATTAATTCATCCTACAGGCAAAGCTCTTTGCTTCTTCTGGGCTTTGTTTGTACAAATTCACAAACAAGTTGTCTAAAAGCAGATCTGAGTCTGGATGTTAGTATTTTCTCACTCAGTAAAAGGACACCATTTTTTATTTTTTTATAGCTGTGAATGAGTGGTCAGTTTCATGACTCTTGCTTGTCTTCTCGAACATAACTACTCTCAGCTTTATACAGTTGAAACCAGAAGTTTACAAACACTATTTAAAAAAAGACATGCATTTTTTCACACTGACATGAAATCAGAATAAACTTTTTCCTTGTTTTAAGTCAGTTAGGATTACCAATTTCTTTTCCATTTGCAAAATACCAAAATAATGAGTGAGAATTTTTAAAGCAATTTTTATTACTTTCTTCAAAGTCAAAAGTTTAAATACACTTCATTATTATTTGGTACCATTGTCCTTAAACTGTATGACTTGGGTCAAACGTTTTGGATCTCCTTCCACAAGCTTCTCACAGTAGTTTGCAGGAATTTTGTCCCATTCCTCCTGACTGGTGCAACTGGGCCCAACCCTTGCTCTCACGTCTTTTCAGCTTTGTCCATACATTTTCAATAGGATTGAGATCAGGGCTTTGTGATGGCCACTCCAAAACATTGACTTTGTTCTCCTTGAGCCACTTTGTAACCAGTTTGGCAGTATACTTCTGGTCATTGTCCATTTGGAAGACCCATTTGTGCCCAAGCTTCAACTTCCTGGCTGATGTCTTGAGATGCTGCTTCAGTATTTCCACATGATGTTCTTTCCTCATGATTCCATCTATTTTGTGAAGCGCACCAGTCCCTCCTGCAGCTAAACAACCCCACAACATAATGCTGCCACCCCCGTGTTTCACAGTCAGGATGGTGTTCTCAGGCTTTTTCCTACAAACGTAACAATGGTCATTATGGTCAAACAGTTCAATTTTAGTTTCATCAAACCACAGGATGTGTCTCCAGAAACTAAGGTCTTTGTTCCTGTGTGCATTTGCAAACTTTAATCTGGCTTTTTATGTTTATTTTGAAGTAATGTCTTCTTCCTGGCAGAGTGACCTTTCAGCCCATGTTGATACAGTTTCACCGTGATAATGACACACTCTTACCAGCTTCAGCCAGCATCTTCACCAGGTCTTTTGATTTTCACCAGGTCTTTTGCATCGTCACCAGGTTTTTTGCATCTTCACCAGGTCTTTTGCATCTTCACCAGGTCTTTTGCA